CTTCGTGGCTTTCATGCTCGTGGGCTGCAGCTTCGTTGTGTTCATCTTCATGAGCGGCAGCATCGTTGAAACTACGTCCGTCCAAGCCTGCGCAGCTCCTGTGGCGCTCACGCTCGTGAACATCAGCTTCGTGGAGTTCAAGCCCGATGGCGGGAACTTCGTGGTCATCGCACCCGTGGGCGGCAGCTTCGCGATGTTCACGCTCGTGGGCAGCAGCATCGTGGCGTTCACACTCGTAGGCGGCAATTTCGCGGCGTTCAAGCTCGCGGGCGGCAGCTTCTCGGCGTTCAAGCTCGTGGGCGGCAGCTTCGTGATGATCACTCTCGTGGACGGCAGCTTCGCGGTGTCCCGCGCTCGGGGCGACACTGTCGCGGCGTTCGCGCTCGCAGGCAGCAGCTTCGTGGCGTTCATACTCGTGGGCGGCACTTTCGTGGCATTCACGCTCGTGGGCGGCAGAACCGTGGTGTTCAAGCTCGTGGGCGGCATACTCGCGATGATCACGCTCGTGGGCGGCAGCGTTGCGGCGCAAGCGGTCGTGAGGGACGTCTTCGTGGCACTCACGCTCGTGGGCAACAGCATCGTGGCCTTCACGCCTTAAGCGGCAGCTTCGTTGCGTTCCCGCTCGTGGGCGGCAGCTTCGGGGCGTTCGCGCTCGTGGGCGGCAGCTTCGGGGTGCTCACGCTCGTGGGCTGCTGCTTCGCGGCGCTCACACTCGTGGGCGACAGCTTCGTGGCGCTCACGCTCGTGAGAAGCAGCTTCGTGGCGTTCACGCTCGTGGGCGGCAGCTTCGTTGCGTTCACGATCGAGGGCGGAAGCCTCACGAGGATTACGCTCGCGGGCGGCAGCGTCGCGGTCTTCACGGCCCTAGGCCGCAGCTTGGCAGCGCGCACGCTTTTGCCCGCGCTCGTGCGCCGCAGCTTCGTAGCGCTCACGCTCCTAAGCGGCGGCTCCGCGGTGTTCACGCTCGTGGGCGGTAGCTTCGTGGCGTTCAAGCTCGTGGGCGCCAGCGTCTTGGCGTTCACGTGTGTGGCCCCTCCCCTACTGGGTGATGGCGTTCTTTGGGTCACTATTGTCAAGATAGCTGGTCCAGGCATGTCGTATTCGCTCCTCCTCGGGCTCGTAGTGCCTGGAACAAGTCGCCCCTGTCTCACCCGCAGGTGCTGCGGCACGCGGCGGGGCGCAGCAACACTCGTCACAGTGCACAATGAGGTTTAAGCTGGTACTGCACGCCAGCGTGGTCGGCCCCCCGCCTGTGCCCACGTAGACGTTGATTGTCGTTCAACAGCCACGCATCACCACCACCACCACCACCACAGCAATCACCATCATCATGTATCATCATCCTCATCGCCATCATCACCATCATAGTCAGCATCATCACCGTCATCAGCTACATCATCATCATCAACATCATCATCGCCATAATCAGCATCAGCATCAGCAGCAACAGCATCCTCATCATCACCCTCGGCATCATTAGCACCATCATCACCAGCATCAACAGCATCATCGGCACACTCATCATTGCCATCACAATCGTCGCCATGTTGGTAATCAGCGCCTCTGATGTATACACATGCTTCATTGTCGCCAACAGAATCACAACCATCAGCATCATCAACATCAGCATCATCAGCAGCAGCATCAGCATCATTAGCATCAATACCAGCATCATCACCAGCATCATAAGCATGGTGATCATAATCATCATCATCAGCATCATCATCACCACCATCAGCATCATCATCATCATCATCATCATCATCATCATCATCATCGGCGTCGTCATCATCATCATCATCATCATCATCATCATCAGCAGCAGCAGCAGCACCATCATCATCATCATCATCATCATCATCATCATCATCATCAACATCAACATCAACAGCATCATCAGTATTATCAGCAGCATCATCGTCGCCAGCATCATCAGAATCAGCATCAGCATCGTCATCACCATCAGCAGCAACAGCAGCATCATCATAGACGGAATCATCATCGTCAGCAGCGGCATCATCAGCAGTATTAGCATCATCACGATCGTCGTCAGCATCAGCATCATCATCGGCATCATCATCAGCATCATCAGTATCATCAACGCCAGCATCATAATCAGAATCAGCATCGTCAGCAACAGCAGCATCATCATCAGCAGCGACATCATCATCAGCATCATCATTAGCATCAGCATCATCAGCATCACCATCCTCATCATCATAAGCCTCGTGGCCATCATCATAATAATCGCCATCATCGTCGTAAGCGTCCTATTTATTATCATCACCATCATCATCATCATCATCACCATCATCATCATCATCATCAACAACAACAACAACATCATCATCATCATCATCATCATCAGTATCAGCGTCATCAACACCAGCAACATCAGCATCATCATCGTCATCAGAATCATCATCTCCATGATCATCAGCATCATCATCGTCATCGTCATCATCAGCAGCAGCATCATCATCATCATCCGATTCATCCTACTACTCTTCCACAGACTGCACATCCAACTTCTCCTCCTCATCCGCCTCATCATCATCATCATCATCATCATCATCATCATCATCAGCAATATCATCATCATAATCCGATTCATCCTCATCCTCCTCTTCCGCATTCTGCTCACCAATCTCATCCTCCTCCTATTCCTCTTCGTCAGCCTCATTATCATCCTCATCATCCTCATCCTCATTATCATCATCGACAACAACATGGCTACCAACATCAACAACACCACAACGACCATCATCATCATCATCATCATCACCATCATCATCATCATCATCATCATCATCATCACAATCATCCTCATCCTCATCATCATCATAATCGTAATCATCATCACACCCATCATCAACCATCATCACCACCACCATCATCATCATCACAATCCTCATTCTCAACATCATCAGCAGCAGCATCATCATAATTAATATCAATCATCATCATCGCCACTATGATCAACATCATCATCAGCAGCATCATCATCACCATCATCATCACCATCATCAACAGTAGCAGCATCATCGTCATCATCATCATTCTGGTCGACGTAGCGATCATCATCATCATCATCATCATCATCATCATCATCATCATCATCATCATCATCATCATCATCATGATCATCATCATCATCATCATCCGATTCATCCTCCTCCTCATCTGGTTCTCATCCTCCACCTCCTCCTCCTCATCCTCCTCCTTATCCTACTCCACCCTCTTCTCCTCTTCCTCCTCCTCCACCTCATCCCCTTGCTGCCCTTCGGCCCTACCATGCCAACGGATCCACGGCGGCCCCAAAAGAGGCCTGCGACCGCGTGTTTCCCAATCCTCTCTGACACCGCTGGGTCTCCCAATCTCGCGCGCCGCGACCCGCGATCGGCGATGCGCGATTCTCTTCGCCCCCTCGCGAAGCCACCCTGAAGACTGGCAGGTGTCCTGGCCCAGGCCGCGATGCGCGGAGCGCGATCCTACTCGCGCCCGAGCGGGCGGCCTGGGACACCACTGGCGCCAGGCCCTGGCAGCGACGACAGGCTCACGAGGGGCATCGGCATCCTCGCGAGCTCCAGACCCTCTGGGGCGCCCGAGACGGGTACGGACAAGACTGGGCACGATGCCCAAGAACAGGTTCCTGCCCGAAGGCGACAGCGGCCGCCGTTGGGCAGTCGGCCTTGTCTCTCAAACTGGCAACGCCCGCGGAGGCACCGCCAGCGAGCCCCGTCCAGGATGGACAGGAACTGCTGTCAGCCTTCGTCCCTTCGGTAGCCATCCATGGAAGCCTCCCATGCAATCTGGCTGGCTCTTGCGAATCGAAGCTGACCGACGCTGACCGAGGCTACTCGACGCTACTGCACTCTAAAGACGGAACGAAAAAGGTATACGAGGCTCCCATGATTAAAGGGGCCCTGGGACACACAAATAAATGAACACTAATAACAGGATTCACATATTTTCATATATTTTCTTGGTTTTTGTCTTCCCCCCACTTCCCATATTTCCCCATATCTTCTGGGGAATCGACGATTGATTGTGTCTGTGTGTCTTTGTTTCTTCCTGAATGATTTGTTACCAAACGTCCCCAACACTTTGACATGCCATTCATATATATATATATATATATATGTATATATATATATATGGCAAGGAAGCTCTACGAGTCCCCGGCGGTAACCAAGGTTGACGCTTTACCGCCGGCTTCCAATTGACTTTGCCGCCAGGAGGACTTTCGCGGCCCTCCAGAATCTCCACCCGCTTGCATCGTGCCGCACTCTGGCCCGAGCCGGCCCTGCGGGAGCCCCCGCCCGGGGCCGGACGCGGCCCGGCCTGTGGGAGCTCCAGCGGGCCCTGCACCTTGCCGCCCCTGCACAGCTCCATGACCACCACCGCCGCGTTGCCGTCCTGCCGCCCCGCGGCCACGCCCGCCGGTGGCCTCTCCGGCCCTCCGCCCTCGTCTCGCCTGCCTTCGGATCGTCCTCCTTCGTTGGGCCCTCTTCCGTCTCGCCCTCTGTCGAAACCCGGACGAATCGAGGCGGACGAACCCACGCGGACGAATCGAAGCGGACGAATCGAAGCGGACGAGATGAAGCGGGCGAAAGGTACTTCGAACGAGATGGAGCAGAGCACCGCCCCCGGCGTCACTCGAAATGAAGCACGTAATTCGAACGAAATGAACATAATTCGAACGTAATTCGAACGAAATGAATGTATCACGGCCGGCGTCCTCTCTACTGTCTCAATCGGGAGGTCGTCGGTGGTCACGGCTGCGGCGGGGCAGCGGCGGCGGACACGGTGGTGGAGGCGATGGCGGCGCTGGTGGTGCTGGTGCTGGTGCTGGTGCTGGTGCTGGTGCTACGGCAGGTTCGTGTCGTGCCGACCCCAGCGTTGGTTTTTGACACCGCAGGGATCGTTCAACCTTGAACGATCGGCCGCTGCCGCAACGTCCGATCGTTCAACATCGATCGATTCTGGGTCGCCGGCGG